AAAAAAAAAAAAAAAAAAAAAAATCATCAGACATACCAGGGAGCACATCTCCTAGAGGCTGAGTCCTGAAGCATGGGAAGCAGTCCACAACCACTGAGCACAGAGACCTCTCATTCCCCACACTTCCCATCCTCACACCAGCCCACCCTGCTAGGTCAGGAGTCCAAAGTTCCTTCCTAAGACCCAGAGGGGAAGAGTTTTGCTCCCTACAGCAGTTCATTCAGCCCCTAAACACAACCACCCTCAACTCCTCAGAGTGATCACACCACCATCAATGCCACACTGCAGCACTTTAAAGAGAGCAGGAAAAGCTGACCAGCTGTAAAAGATGAAGAAACACCTGCTAGCTATAGCCAAAGAGTGAGAATTAAGGTGGGAGAGGTAGCTTTGGGTGGGGAGGAAGAGATGCAGGTGGTGAGTAGGAGCAAATTACAGCCTGGCAGGCAGCTCAGGTGTTCTGAATAATTTTTACAAGTCAGCTGGAAATTTGTCCACTGTCCAGTGGTTTGGAGGAAGGTCAAACTGGCATTTGGTTCAGGTCAAACCCTGAAGAAGCTGTTTTTTACAGTGTCCTCAGGGACCCTGGAGGGCTGCAGCCAGGGCAGCCAGGCTGGTGCTTTGCAGCACTATTAACTGCAAATATAAACACATTGGGAGCCTGGTGATTTGAGAGACCAGAGACTGAGCTCTGAGCAAAAGGAGACCTGGGAAAAGGGCTGATGTGTTCTCTCTCTTAATTAAAAATATAGCAGTCACTTTTTGCTTCCATTGTAGTTTCCTATAAAATCTCCCTGTGTGTGAAGCTGCAGCAGCAGCAGGAAAGCAATTGTGGAGCAATTTCAGCGGTGGGTCAGGGAAGTAAAAGCTGGGCTGTGGGAAGCAGAAGGGCTGGCCACTGTGGGATGGGTCTCTCAGCTCAGACTGCAGCTACCAGGGGGAGATCACCAGGAATATCTGATGTGCTGGATGCTGTGTGTAAGGAGGGAGGGGGAGCAGCATTTTGCCTGAAATACTACCTTATTTCAGGTCAAAACCTGATTTTTTTCCTCAGCCAATATTCCCAAGCTATCAGTATTGACATCTTTTAAGAATATCTTTTCTCCAGCTTTGCCTCCACTTGCATTGAAATAGTCAAATTTCAAAATAATTTCATCAGTTACCTTACATTTTCTAGTCAGTGCCTTCTGCTTTTGCTTCTTTAATGAAAATCTCAGTGTTATCAACAAAATCGACTTGATTTTAATTTCCATGGAAAAAGGCATCTTTAATTTAAAACCCACTTTCTATCTAAAGAAGAGAAAGGAGGAGGATCCTGTAAGGAAAATTTTAACAGCTAACATGCATAAAACACCTAATCTGATGACAGATAGTGATGGACAAAGTGATGTTGGGTCGGTTTTGTCCATTCTACCCCCTCTGTGAGGATCACTGACCCTCCAGGGCTGGGTGTCACTCCAGGTGTGCTGCCACCTCCCATCACACCTCCCCTGTGTGTGTCCCATGGGAACCAGGCTCCCTGCAGCCCTTGCTGGGCAAGCTGAGCCCACCAGGAAGGCTCTGCAGCCCAACACTAATAGAAGACTTCCATGAGGAAGCATTCTCCATGCCCTGACCATCCCCAGGGCTCAGTGACACCCTGGCACCCAGCAGCATTACCCTTTGTCTTGCCCAGGGCGGTGGAGGAAGGCTCCATCTAGGCCACGAACATAAGCCAAGCAAAATAATTTCCTCTCCTTGCAGCTGGGGCAGGAACTCAGCTGCTGGCTCCGGGTGTCCTCGGGAAGCAGAGCACGCAGATGTTCCTCTGTCTGCAAAGGTGAAGGGCACAGGAGTAAGAGCAGAAACAAGTCCTTGGTGCAGCACTGACTGCCTGCCAGCCAGGCACAGCTCTGGGACGTGGGGACAGCTCCTGGCCCTCGTCTGGGCAACACCCACCCAGCATTCAGTGACATAGTACTTTGGGATTGGCAGATAGAGGGAATAGAAGAGAGCTGAGAAGTTTGGCTCCTGTAACACAGAAGCAATTTACCCAAAACCTGTTTAATTCATGTATTTCTGCTGTTGGGAAAGGATTTGGTGTTTAGATACTTTTGAGGAGCTGAAACCCAGTTCACTCTACCTGCCCTGACACTGACGGCTCCCTGAAAAGGAGAAAACATTCCTTGGAAGAACAGACCCACCAGTAAACCCCCTCATAGGGCAGGTCTTCATTGGAAATTCAACATCAGACACCACCAGATGCCTGGGACAGCTGCAAAGGGCTTTGTCTGTGGAGCCCTGTGACTCTCCCTGGAGAGGTGACCAGGGTGAGCAGTTGTCACCACGATGATGGGAGTGGGACAGGTAGGTGTGAGCAGGGTTAACCTCCTGCCCTCCCCATGTGTAAGAGGTGTCCATTTGTCCTTGCCTTGTCCTGTGTGCCCACAGCAGTCACCCCCTGCAGCAGCTCTTGTCCCTCACCCATGATTGCCCATGGCAGGGCACATCAGTGCCACTCTGAAGGGACTTCTGGGTGTGGGAGCACTTGCAGGGCACACACATCACACAGGCACATGTCCCTGCAGGTGCCACAAGGGTAACCATGCCCCCCTACACCAGCACTGATCTTGGCCCATTCCCCTGCCCAGAACTCACACACCCCTGAATGAAATGAAACAATTCTGGGGAAGCTGGAGAGCTGCTGATGTCAGGGCTAGGGTTTGCCAGCATTGCTGCACTTCTGTGCCTGGCTGCTGTTTCCCTGCCCTCCAGAGAACACATCTGTGCCAGGAAAACCTCTGGCTGGACCTGAGTTCAAAGGTGAGGAGCAGGTCTTGTGCAATTTAACCCCTTCTGTGCACACCTCTTGCCTGGACCTGGCCAGGCCTTGGGGGGAACAAGCTCTGGCCACAGAGAGAGACTTTTGTCATCTGGACTGGCACAACTCAGAGCCCCCAGACATTGCCTATACTTGGAAACATCTTTCTCCCCAAGGGAGGGAAACTGCCTTTCTCTTCCCCAAGCCCTATAAAAGGTCAAAGGCTGCATGGTCTTCCCGTGGCTGAGTTGGATCCCTCCAGGAAAGACCTTTCCAGCAAAGCCACATTTGCAGCCTCACCAGGACACGACATATCCAGTGGGGACAAAAGGTCCAGCCCGTTATCTCTACATACAGAGAAGTATCTCCTCTCTCTGTTATATTTTATGTGCTATTTTACAAGGAAAGATAATCCTAATCTCTCTGTCTAGCAATATCCATAACCATAATCATAAAAGTATCACTGAAATGGAACCACACAGTTTTGAGGAATTGGAATTACAGGGAAGGTCCAGATAAGGCTAAAACAAATACTTCACTAGAGAGCACAAAGCAAAAGTCTGTGGATCCGCAGTGAAAGGTGACCTAAAATATTTGGCTACTCAGTTATCTCTGCTGGGTAAGAGCTAAAATGGATAGGATAGGATAGGATAGGATAGGATAGGATAGGATAGGATAGGAT